GTGTGTGTGTGTGTGTGTATGCGTGTGTGTGTGTGTGTGTGTGTGTGTGTGTGTGTGTGTGTGTGTGTATGCGTATGTGTGTGTGTGTGTGTGTGTGTGTGTATGTGTGTTCGCGCGCGCGTGTACTAGAGGCTTTTCTACCTCAGCTATAAATTCGTACCCACAAGAGACATGCACAGATCTTTGTCAATGTGTCCATCTTCAGTCAATGCCCCAAATACCAAACCATCAGCACCATAATGCTTGGCAAGACGAATGTCAGCCTTCATCACTTCAACTTCACGATCTGAATACAAAAAGTCACCTCCCCGTGGTCGGATCATCACAAAAACTGGAATCTGGACACTTTGTTTTACTACTTGAAGAATACCTGTAAGAACAAAAGCAGACTAAAGTTCAACTGTAACCTAAAAGATCTGGAGAAGTTATTAAAATATTATTGGTCATATATAGATATTTTTATGTATTATTTCCAAAGGAGAAGAGTTGACAGAAGACATCAGAGAGTGATGGCATGAGAAGGAGGCCTTGAGTGAAAGTGTAAAGAATTGATGGAGTCCTAGTGAATGCACTATTAACAAAGACCAAAGCCCTCCTCTGCTCCAAGTGTGAGCCTTTACAAATGACTGACCAGTGTGCGTAAAAACTAGCAACTGCAGCTTCCTCCTCCCAGGTGACTGGAACCTAAGACTGCTCCCCTACAGAGACCACGTAAGGACCAGCTTACTCCTCTATCTGTGTTGTACATGACAGATATGCTGAGACTTCAGGTTGTTTCATAGTTGGTGCCACTCCATCAGAGTAAGCGTAATCCATTACATCCTGGCTTCTCTGCGTGCGTGAGTGTGTGTGTGTGTGTGTGTATGTCTATCTTTGCTTCCAGGACCAAGCCACGCAGGATGCAGTAGAGGCCAAAGAGGAAACAATAAGTGTTTACGGGGGAAGTTAAGTAATAGGAAAGTGAAGGGTTAAAGAAGAGCAGTTTAGAAGGACTTTCTACTTAAAAGCACTTCTCAGCTGATACAACAAAAACAATTTACCTTCCAACTTTTGATGTTTGAGGACAAAAATATGTTTAACTAAATCTGTTGATGATGTTATTTACAACCATAAGCATTTCTAACTGGTATCATAGTGATCATATACTTAACATAATATTAAATCATCACTTGGCCCAGCCTCTGTATGAGAAATTCTGTGGAAAAAAAAAAGACTTACCCATGCTGGGTGTGGTTCCTCCTTCCAGTAAGCCAGCACATAATTCAATCCGACCAGCACCTTTTAAAAAAAACACATTTTTTAAACATCCCTATGACAAGACAAACTGTTTATCTAAATACAAAAACAACCTGAGAATTTAATTGAAATAAATCAAATTATAAAATTAAAAATATTTTAAATCTCAATTGTATTCTACAATCCTCTTTGTGTCACTGATAGTCAAATTAAGAGTTAATTCATATTAAGCCAATTCTCTTAAAAATGGTATTAGAAAGAGTCAGGCGGTGGTGGTGCACACCTTTAATCCCAGCACTCAGGAGGCAGAGACAGGCAGATCTCTGTGAGTTCAAGACCAGCCTGGTCTACAAGAGCTAGTTCCAGGACAGCCTCCAAAACCATAGAGAAACAAACAAACAAACAAAAATTGTATTAGAGTTGTCATGCACAGGAAATAAGGACACTATTGGATAGAAAATAGTAGAATGTTAACTCTCAATCAGTAAGAAAGTAACATCACCTTTCAAAACATTCCTCATTACTCTAAGATTTAAAACAAAACAAAACAGTTACTTTAGAGTAGCTATCAAGATAATTTCAAGGTGAGGTGTATGTTGATAGCAAAAAAACTATAAGACTATTGGGGTCATGTTAAAAGGTCTCATGGATAAGGCTCTCACTAGCCAAAGATAGAATATTTTAAGCACTAATAAAACAACTCTATGATAGATAGATATGATAGAAAACACATGTCTAAATCTAGTTTTATAATGTCAAAACTACTCACTGGAGGATAGCAAACAGAAGTGCTATTTTGAAAATCAGTGAAGAAGCCAGCCTTTCTCCCTTCCTCTCACACAAACCACATTTCAACATGACTAAATGATGAAAAAGCTGTTCTTTCTAGTTGTTACTAGTTAATAAATGAATGAATGAATGAATAAATAAATAAATATTAAGCAGGGCATGATGGTACATGCCTGTAATTCTAGCACTTGGAATGCTGAGGCAGAAAGATTATGAGTTCAAGGCCAGCCTCAACTACATAGTGATACCCTATGTCCGTCCAAAAACAAAAAAACAAAATTCAACCTCAAATATATATGTGTACACATACGCATAAACACATATATATACTAAAATTATTAGATTGACAAATGACTGGAAAACTTATAAAAGATAGATCAGGTTGGTAACACCTGAATCCACTGAATAATCTTTTTTTTTGTTGTTGTTGTTTTTTTTTGTTTTTCGAGACAGGGTTTCTCTGTGGCTTTGGAGGCTGTTCTGGAACTAGCTCTTATAGAACAGGCTGGTCTCGAACTCACAGCGATCCGCCTGCCTCTGCCTCCCGAGTGCTGGGATTAAAGGCATGCGCCACCAACGCCCGGCTCACTGAATAATCTTAACATTATACAAATACATATACACATACAAAGAAAAATACAAGATGTCGTCCTAATGTAATACAACAGATACTTGACTATAAAGCAATTTTTAAAAATTATTTTTATATCTAAATTTTTATTTTAATTTTGGTGTTTTGAGACAGGGTCTCTCTGTATAGTCCTGGCTGTTCTAGTACTTGCTGTATAGACCAGGCTCACCTCAAACTCATAGAGATCTGCTTGCCTCCACCTTCCCAGTGCTGGGGGTAAAGACATGCACCCCCTTCCCCAGTTTATTTAATTTTTAAATATGGGTATTTTGCCTGCATGTCTGTGTACTATGTGTATGCCTGCTGCCCACAGAGGCCAGAAGAGGGCATCTGACTCTCTGAACTGCAGTTATAGACAGTTGTGAGAGTGTCTAGCACAATGAGGGTGCTAGGATTTGAACCCATACCCTCTGGAAAAGCACCCAGTGTGTGTAACCAATGAGCCATTTTTCCATCCCTATGAAACAAGTTTATTAAAGCTCAATTCTGAATTGGACTTTAAATGACTGGGTGAACTACAACTCAACAGGGAATAAAGTGATTAGAAAATAATATCGTATTGCACCACTTACATAATTAGCAAAATTGAGACTGATGCTCTCTGAACGATGAACATCATAGTGCATGTAACAAGTCAACTACGAAAAAAGAGAAAAATTAACCTTTTTTTTTTTTAAAAAAAAAAAAAAAAAAGAGGAAATCATCAAGTATGTAGTACATGTCTGCAACCCTGCCACTTGAAAGGTTTAGGTAAGAGATCACAGTTTGAGGTTACCTTGGGTTATAGTAAGACTCTCAAAACAACCAAGAATAAGGGATATGTAGCTCAGCAATACAGCATGTAAAAAGCCCTGGGCTCAATCTGCACAGGGAACCAGGGAAAATATCATCTGCAATAGCAACTATCAATCCTTCATTCCTTTTCATTGCCACGAAGGGATTTTACAAAAGTTTTCAAAAAGCAACAAGGAGTGGCAATAATCTAATGTGTCCAGCAAAATTGAAAACATGTAAACTGCTCCTTACCAAAAATACTTGCTGAAAATGACTGCCCACGACTTAAAAATGGTTGAAGTTTGTAATGATTGCTTTTCATTTGTCAATTTGATTAGATATGGAATCGCCAAGGAGACACATCTCTGAGTGCATCTTTGAGGGAGTTTGCAGAGAAGTGTAACTGAGGAGGAAAGATCCACATTGAATGTGGGTGGCACTATTTCATGGGCTGGAGCACCGCCCCCTCCCCCAAAAAAGAACAGAAAAGAAAAGAGGAAGCCAATTGAGCATCAGCATCCACTTCCCTGCTTTCTGACTGCAGACCCAGTGGGATCAGCTGCCTCAGGCTCGGTCAACATGCCTTCAGTGCCATGATGGAGGCCAAAATAAACTCTTCCTTCTCCAAGTTTCTTTTGTATTGTAATATACCACAGCAACAAGAAAAGCAACTAATGCAAAACTGAATGATGAGTAGATAGAACGTTAGTGTTTCTACTGCTGCAATGAAACATCATGACCAAAAGCAATTGGAGGAAGAGTTTCTTTTACCTGAGAAGTCCATCACTAAGGGAAGCCAGGGCAGGAACTAGAGAAGCCATGGAGGAGTGTTGTTTACTGGCTTACTCAATCTGTTTTCTTATAGCACTCAGGACCACCAGCCCACAGGAGCTGGGTCCTCCTATATCAATCATTAAGAAGGAAAATGTACCACGGGCTTGCCCATAAGGTCAGTCTGGTGGGGATATTTTGTATTCTGAGGTTCCTTCTTCCCAAATGACAAACTAGCCAGCACATGGGAATTCACATGTTATGTCTGATTCATTTATGTCTGAAAATGTTCCTTAATTAAAAATAAAGGTTTGGGGACATAGCTTAGTAGAATGCTTGCCCAAAATGCACAAGATCCCAGTTTTTACCCCTAGTACTACCAAAAAGTAAGTTAAAATTATTTTTCTGACCTTGAGATGATGGAAATGTCTATGCTTCTCACAAAAACAAATTTAGAATACAAAACAAAACAGCACCTATGGTAAAAAGATAAGACATCTAAAAACCATCTTTAATGTTCACTCTTATTCAATACTGGGGACTGCACATGTTACAACTGCTTTGTCACCGAGCTACTTGCTCAGTGCCCTAAAGATATCTTTAAATTCTTTTAACTTCTTAAACTTGTGTCAAGTTCAATAAAATAATCATGTTAATGAATAATCAGGATTATAGAATCTTGACTTAAAATGTGACCTGCTGGAGGAAGGGAAGATTAGACAGTAATTTTCCAATAAATTTTAAATTTTGCTTTACTTTCTAAAGCAAGGTCTTCCTATCTAGCTCAGCTAGCCTCAAACGTTCGACCCTCATGCTGCTAGCTCCCCCATGCTGGGATTATAAGCATGTGGCACCATGCCAAGTTCTTCAGTAGGTTATCCAGGGCGCTTTTTTTTTTTTTTTTTTTTTTTTTTTTTTTTTTTTTTTTCTCTCACCATAACCAGCCCACACTGACTTCACAGTGACCCTTCTGCCTCAGCCTCCCAAGTGCCCAGCTTGGCAAGGTCTTTCTTGAGGTCAGTTCACAAGATGCATTTTCAGACTCTTAAAAATGGCTGTCAGCCACTATTCATTACCTCGTTTGCCTTACCTCCTCTTTCTGCATTCATGGCCGACTCCACTGAATCTACACATACTTCCATAAGAAATCCACATGGTGCTCCTAAAATACAGGAACAACAGACATTCTTGAAGGAACTCACAATTCATACCAAACTTCCACTCATACTTCAGTTTTTGCTGCCTGAATCCAAATGTGCAATAGAGAAACAAATAGCTATACTAAGACTCATCCGTGTGGTAAAATAGCACACTTATTAAGTGTCTCCAGACTGTGAAACAGATATACAGATGCAAAAGAAACCAAATCATCTTAGTACATACTAAATGTGAAATTAATCTTCCTGAAACACGGACCTCATCACAGTGTCTCAGCTCAGACTCTCAGAATGCCTCTCAGCGCCAGCAGTTATAAGGAACACATAGTTAAAAACAAAGGTTCAAACCCTGGTCCCACTTTATTCACTCTGTGAGCCTAGACAAGTTACTTTTCCATGAAACAGAGGTTTCAATTCCTGTCCTCAGAGTAATGAACACGGAGATAATTTATATAAAGGATACACCCACTAAGCATTCAAAAAGCATTCACTGTCACGAATAAACTACAGTCTCCATCTTTGCCACTGATTATACTATCCCAATTGACAAAAATCCTTCTAGTTTCATCTTCAAAAGCTAAACTTTTCCAAGGATTTTTGTTTGTTTGGTTTTTTGAGACAGGATTTCTCTGTGGCTTTGGAGGCTGTCTGTCCTGGAACTAGTTCTTGTAGACCAGGTTGGTCTCAAACTCAGAGCTCTGCCTGCCTCTGCCTCCCGAGTGCTGGGATTAAAGGCGTGCGCCACCACTGCCCAGTATTTTTCAAGGATCTTACCAAGTCACATTTCCATGGTTTTTTTTTTCTCCCAAAGTAGAAATGTTTATGTCCTTCTTTTGAACTCCAATAACTTGAGTTCCATATTTCTCATTAAAACCCTAGTTTCCCCTCTTATGGGATATATATCTGACCTCTATTGGTTGACATGAAGTTCCTTAATAAGGTTGTTATTTAAGAATACTTTATCTTCACCTCTCAGCAAGCACAGGACCTACCATGCTAACGAGTCATTCAAATATATACTAAAATCTGAATTACAAATTCATATGTTAATACTAAAAAGTATGGTCTTAGTGGCTTTGAGGTTTTCCTGCAAGTTAAATGGATAATGTATTTTTAATTAAGAATTTGAATGTTGGGGCCTAAAAAATGCTCAGTGGGTAAAACCATTCACTGTGCAAGCCTGACAACCTGAGTTCAGTCCCTGAATGTATTTAAAACTGGAAAGAACTCTACAAAGTTGTCTTCTGACCTCCGTATACTCACTGTTACATGTACCCCCCCACAATAATAATCAATACAATTTTAGAATGTTTAATTTGTTGGTGATGGTGACACACACCTTTTTGATCCCAGCACTTGAGAGGCAGAGGCAGTCGATCTCAGTGAGTTCAAGGCCAGTCTGGTCTACAAAGTGAGTTTCAGGACAGGCAGGAATGTTACAAGGAAACCCTGTCTCAAAAAACAAAAACAAAACAAAAAAGTGTAATTCATGCTTCATTTAATGATTTCTATAAAAAGTTACCACATTGTCATAGTGGTTACTAATGGTCAGTGAATTTGTGATTATTTTTACTTTTCTATGTTGCTTGACTTCTACTTAATAATGCTTTCATGATGAAAACTACTTTGAAAAGCAAAAATCTGTTTCCTCCTAATATGAAGTTGCAATTGCCATTTATTTAATAAAAGACTATGGGTCCCACAGATTAGAACTCAAATGTTACCTGTGGTCTTAAACAACAATGCCCTAACTCCACAAACAAGTAGCCACGTCAACAGTCACACCAGTGGGACTTGATAATGCTGAAGGATAATCAGTAGCTTCACAGAAGAGGATGGGAATGGAGCCTAAGCAACAAAGTTTTTTGTAGGGATCAAAACAGACGTTTGAGGCAGTAGTGCTGAAAGGAAGATACTCCGGGTAGCTTGGGGGACACGAGTCTATGGCTTTACTTGCCTTTCTCTGTCTTAGCCTCTCTCTCATCAGTGGGATGCAGTTTTCAGGACACTACTAAATGTGTCAGATGGGATGCAGACGTAAGTATGAGAATCCAGCTATCTTCCATATTAAAGAGATTTGCAAAATACACTGCCACCTACACTATTTTACTTAACATATGATAGGTATATTAAGGCTATTATTTTCTAGTAACCAGTCAATAGTTTCAGGACAGTAAGCACTAAGAAAAACAGATGTGAGAACCGCTGGTTGGGAGAACCAAGAGTTCACTGAGGAAAAGAAATCTGACGAATTCCTGTCTGCGCTGATAGCCAGCCCTGGACAACTCCCGCGGGAAGCAACCAGGCACCTGTAACCAACAGATGCCACGTGTCACCGCACGTTGACTATCCAGCAAGCGACAGGGAGGTGAGTGAGGAGGTGGGTACGGCGCCCTCTTGTGGCCCAAGGGGCTTCGGGGAGCTGAGGGAACCTGAGGGGGGAAAAAAAGCGTGACCCGCCGGGACCCCCGAGAAGCTGAGGGGACTCGCGGGAAGCGTCACTGCCCGGGACCCGCGAGGAGCTGAGGAAACGTGACAGGCGGGGACCCACCCCCGCGGGGGTCGCCCGGCCCAC